TCATTCTCTTCTCTTAAAATGAAATGAAAAACCTTTGAGTATCTGTTTTTCTCATTTACATAAAAAAATCAAGATCTGGGTATGGCGGTGTATGTCTATAATCCCAGCACTCAGCTGTACTACACAGTGAGACTGTCTCAAACAGTCAACATAAAACAAAAAAAGAAATTCAAGGACACGGTATTAGTTTATGATCAACTTTACTCTGCTAAGTGTTAGCTGCTTACAAATCTATCACCCATTAGATTGTAAACTTGAATTTGGTGACATTTGTTTTGCGTAACAGTAACAATTTCGATTTACTGAGAGCCTACTGCATGTCAGGAACTGTGCTACATAGTTACTGTAGTCCATGCTAAATAGCACTTCTATTCACACATCACAATCCTTACTCCCACCTCTTACTTCAGCCGCTGATGCAGTACCAGGTTTCACACATGCCGTAACAGACTTCATGCAGAGACCAGTTAGAAGGTACCATATACGTCTCGAATCTGCCCTGAAGCTCTCTGACCCCACAGCTGGTACCCACATGTATGAAGTCTACACTCACCTATCCAATCTGGAAGTGTGGAGGAGTTATGGCCTGCTCACTTCTTGTGGGTGAACACTTCTGAGTCTCATTTCAGTACGCATCAAAAGCACTTAGTAGAATTGAGTATTAGTTTCTTGTGTGGGCAGACATCTGGATAACTTATCCTTCTGTTGGCTTTTCCTCCTTCCCTGCTTCATTCCCAGTTCTCCATTCCTGCTCCTCTGATCATAGTCACTATCGGCACACCAATTTTTGTCTCAAGCTGTGCCTTCTGTGTCACCTAACCTGACACCTCTCTAAAATTGGCACTTTCGTATTTGCTTTTGAGATGACCAAAGGTTCAGAGAGATTATCTTCCTTCTCACAGTTGTATAAATGGTAAGAAGAGTGTTCAAATGTATCCTCTTCACTGTGTCACACTGTCTCACGATACCATGACCTAGTTAGGAGCTGGACTAGGAAATGCAATTATGTGGCTATGACACAAACAAGTCAGAACTTCAAATACACATTACATTTTTAGATGATGCAGAAAGGACTGTTTCGCATTAGAGAAAATTTTTAGCTGTGAGACAGACAAATGCAAATCTTGTTTGTCTTTACTTACATTCTAAAAATACAGATTTATGAACCAATAAAAGGGTGACAAATGCCTCAAATTTCCTGTTTACAGAAATATTTGTGGAAACCAATGTATCCTACATCCTGTTGCTTTTCACTGTTTAAAGACAAAGCTATGGTGCCTCTTTATTTGAGGCTCCGTCAGAGGATCTACTTAAACCACTACTGCTGCACAATTTTATTCTCACACTGATGTTTGTGTTAATGAATTGGCATGCTTTCCCTCTCTTTTCCTCTGTCCTGCACAGTTGTTGGTCACAGCTATGAACTGTTACTAGGCCTACTATTTTATCCACCATAACACAAAGCAAGGTCTTCAATGCCTATCATTAAGAACATCCCCTGCAAAAAGAGATAAAACCACACAGCATTTTCTCTGTGCTACTTCTAAGCACTTTATGCTTATTTATAGTCCTTTATCCTTATAAAACCCTATAAATAGGTACTGTCATCATTCCATTTTATAGAGAAACCGGGGTAGAGAGGCTAAATGACTTGTCCAAGGTCACGTGATGAGAGGAATCAGCACTTGAACTCAAGCGTCTGACTCGAATTGGCCTTTCATCACCATAGTCATCATGGCTACTGCATGGTCATGTAAGGACTAAATGAACAGTAAGAGAGAGAGAGAGAGAGAGAGAGAGAGAGAGAGTGTGTGTGTGTGTGTGAAGTACTAGACTTCCAAGTGCCACATGATAAAGGCTATCTTTAATGTTAGCTTCTATCGTTACTTGCTTCTGACATTAGGATTAATTGAACTTGCACTTTATTCTTATTCAGATCTCCAGTCTCGAGATCTCCATCATCAGCAGGTATTTCCTCATTCTGAGATAAAATGGATTCTATACAGTTAGAACTTTGCAAATTGTGAATTTAAGCTCTCTCAGATCCTGCCCACCCTCTACTATCACCATGGCATCCAGGACTTCAGCCCCTCCCTGTTCCTCTATTAAGAACAGAGCAAACTATGGCACAGATCACAGCCACCAGGAAAAATTTTTTCTGCTTATTTTATTATATCCCAGAGCATACATGTTAACTTCCCAGCTCTTTTTGTTTTTATCAATGGCACCATCATTGCTCTAATTTCTTGGACTAGAAGTCACGATTTTTCTCCTTCCTTCCTGCATATAAGTAGCTGTCTGACATTAAATTAACATTTTTTCTCCTTTGCCTCTGCCTCTCTAGCCAATATGTGATTTGCAGTTTATATCTTGCTTGCTGCAACAGCTTTCAAATAGAACTTTGTCGTTTTAATTTCTACCCATTTTTCTTGTAGCTTACTTTCTGACTTTTTCTCTAAACAATGTCTTTATTGCATAAAGCAATAGCTTTTATGTTTTTTTTTTACTATATCAAGTCAGAACACACTAGTTTTATAGCCCTTAAAAGATCAGATGGATCTTGTAACTTCTACTTGTCCATCCTCTATAGTAATTCACTATCTACCTGAGACCACTCTTTTTTTCCCCCACATATGTGGGAAAAGTAGGCATGAGCAGTGAGTTCTTTCCCCAAATCTTTTTACTGGCACAATTGTAGTCCTCCACAGTGGAAGTATTCCTAATCAAGGAAGGAGTTGAAGAATGGAGCAATGGATCAAGGCACAGCTTCTATTCAGGGACTACCTTATTTTGAGTAATTTTCTAAAAAGTTGCTTAAGAATAAATGAGGAAAATTTCAATTGCTATCTTTGCTACATCACAATCACTTTTTTCTTGATGTACTGCTCTTATTTTTGAGGCTTCTTTTTATTGTTTTGATTTTTTTTCCATATCAGTTTGAGTATCTAAGGTCTAGACACAACATACCTTTTTAAAAGAGAGTACTTTATGTGGGAATGTTTATGGTACTTTTATTATCGTAAGTGTCCTTTCGCTAAGAAAATCCTACTTTAAGTCTTACTTGGTTACCAGTAAAGAAAGGAAGAAAAAAAAAAATCCCTGGAAGAAATAAAAGTTTCAGAAACGGCTTTAACGTTTTTAAAAGAGTTATTATTACTTGGTCAAAATCTGCTTTGTGTGAAAGAAAGATTCTGCAATCTATGATTTTTCCCAGAACTTTTTTTTTTTAAAGAGAGAAGATGACATTTCTCCAGATGTTTCTTCTGGGTAATTATTTTTAAATAAACAAAGGAAAATCTAGCTGAGGTTTTTTTTTTTTTGTTTTTTCACTTAAGCAGAGTAACATAGCATATGAGAACAATCTATACAATAACAGTCCATATACTAATAATGTGACATTAAGTTGTGAGCTAGGGAGGGAGTGTAGCAAATGCTGACTATCCAATGCCATACTACACAGTTTGACTACATAGTATATATTAATTGTGTGAAGGGGTTTCATTGTGATATTTCCATACATGCATATTATGTACTTTGATCATACTTACCCCCTTATTACTCTTTCTTCTTTCTTATTCTTCTCCCTCTTTTTTTTTTTTTTACAATTTTAATGGGTTTCATTATGCTATTTTCATATATGTGCATATAATGTATTTTGGTTATATTCAGTCCCCATCACACTCTTATTCCACTTCCTCACCCAACAGTTTCCCTTTTACATTCATGTCCTCTATTTTTTTTAGGTCAATGTGCCCTTTCATAATTACTCTCCATGTCTGTGTGAGGCTCAGGATTGTAATTACTTGATAAAGCTCAGGGGACAAAGGACATGTCACCCAGTCAGTTCTGCAAAACATGTAGGTTTCTAAGAAGAAACACCCAAACTATGATAGGCAAGAACTTTCTATCTTTTTCCCAAAGGCTAGCACAAGACATGGTTGCCACATCATTACAGTTCTTTTTATATGAAGTTCTCTGCTTATTTAGATAAAGGGACTGTGATTAGAGAGCATTCTCAAACACCCTCAAGATATCAGACATCTGGAATTTCCTTAAGTGATATCTCGATTAGTTGAATCACTTGCATACTTAATGCTCATTAGTAAGAAATTATGCCAGTAAAATGTTGACTTTTCAGTCAAATTGCTGAGAGAAAAATGTCACAATAGTTCAAAAATCTGATGAAAAATGGTAACACTTTTATCATCTCATTTGTCATCACAAATGACACTTAAAGTATGGCCCTAGAAAGAGTCTGAAGTTCGTGTTGCGAGGGTTAGCGTCTAACTCTCAAAATGTGCCAATGAGTAGACTTCAGATCATGCATGGTACAACCATCTCTAGCTGTAACACAATACATACACACTGGCCTTTTACTTGGTATGTGTGTGGTCCCTGAAAATTTATAAAAATCACTAAGGTGGGTGGACTACTATCTGTATTTTATACATCAGGAAATTAAGGTATAGAGACATTAGTTCCATGCCCAAGGTCACACAGGGACTCTGTGTCAGAGCTATGATTTGAATCCAAGCCTGACCACAAAGCTTAAGTGCCCCAACATTGCAGTACATCCACTAGGGACTAATTCTCTCCCTACTCAGCACTCGCTAAGTGAGCAGGGCCAAGCTAAGCCCTGCTATTATCTTTTCTATTTCAGGGTGAAATTCTATACTTTCTGAACTAGTCTTCATAGTTTTCTAAAGAAGCTCTTCAGCTGAGTGTACATAATTGGAGGCAAAACTGCTGGTAATTATCTAATGAAATAAGATTCTCAACATCAATTTTTTTTTTGAACTTCAGGCTTGGAAATGTGAGTAACACAGAATTGGTCTTGTATTTTTTCTCCAACTTGCTTAAGTATAACCTGAGTACATTATGAGTTTGGCCAACTGAAATTGTTTACCATTCATTTTTTTCCTCCCATGGCTCTATTTTAAAAGCTACAGGCATAAAGTTTAAAGGCAACATTTTCTTGTTTTCCTGGAAAACCATCTTACCTCTGTATGTATGAGTTGTTCACACCACGGTGATCCAAATCATGGCTGAGTGCAGCGATTAGCAATGCAAGTATCTCTAGGTCGGTCAGCTTGTTCTACGTGACCAATGGCATTAGAGGAAAAGAAAAGGAAGGTACAACTTGGTCAAAGACATTCTGCTACCTTTCTTCAGCACTCTTGCTTTCGTCTTCCTTGGTGCTTTATATATGCACTTGTGTATAGTCAGAGAGGATTCACCTCAGCCTTCTGTTTTGCAGGGAATAGGTTGTACTTTGTTGTTCACAATGGATTATTACAAATGTCACTTATCAACAGAAAAAGTTGAAATGCCTCAAAAATTAATAATCTGCCCACCTAGAATAAATACCACTGAAGTTTAATTACTTACGTGTATGTGGAATGATCACAATAAACTTTAAAGGATTATTTTTTTCTTAATACCTGCAGATTCTGCTTTATTCTCTGCTATCGACCTCTATATCCTTAAGGAGTGTAGACAGTGGGAATATTAAGCAAAACAACAGAAATAATATTGTCAGGAATAAACATTTGCACAGTATGTCCCCAATGCAAATATAGGTTATTGTTGAGTATCACAACAGTATTATCTATACTCCTGTTTCTCTTTATTACTGAGAAAACCCAAGTTAAATTATCATGTCAGTTCTATTCTGTGAGAACTCTCAGCACTATAAATAGGTTTAAAAGCATATATGAAAATCATCATTTTATTATTCATCATAAGAAGCCAGAATAGCTTTCAGTGATGATAATCCTGATGACACTTGCATACCCTCAAATAAGTTTATCCTACTTCTTATAAATGTTTGTTAAGCAGGAAAATATAGCTTTTAGTATAATAGTCATTTCTTCTATTTATTTTTTTTACCTTACTTAAATTTTTCTTTTTTTTATTTTTGCTGTGCTAGGGATCAAACCCAGGGCCTTGTACATTCCAGGCAAGAGCTTTACCACTGAGCTACATTTCCCACTCAGTTGTTTTTTTTAGATCTAACTAATTAAAATGTGCACCCTATGAAAACAGAGACAAGATAACATTTTTAGGATTTTTTTTTTTTAAAAGCAGGGAAGTTCTGAATTAAAACAGCTATATAATGGTTGCTTGGGATGACTTACTTAGAATAACTAGATGATTCCCATTTAAGTTAAAATCTAAGGACAGAGAAATGGATAACATTTGGTCTGGAAAGGAATGAATTACTTGAACATTTTCTGCGTTGATCTTCCTTTTACATAGTTTCAGGTCAATGTATACAAAACCAAAACCCTTTTGATTAAGTAGTACTTAGAAATATTAACTGAGTGTTCCAGAGAAAATAAAAGAGAGAACCCTGACCTTATCTAGGAAGCTAAGTTTAGGACATGGGTGGTTTTTGAGGAATCCTACTAGGAAATACAAGAAATGTGATACTTCTTCTGAATCCTGTAGCATCATTCTCTGAAGAAGGTGTTTATTTGCTACTACTAAGCAATAAAATATGTTAAAAGTGTGTTAAATATACAAATGATTTTAATACCTACCTGAATTTTGCCTGCTTTTAGAGCAGCAAACATGCACTGAGCTGTGTTAAAGGCATGTCTCCAATTATGATAGGCAACGTTCTTCCGATAATTCTTCTTAACACTCAAAATCCATCTGCAAAGAACCTTTAGGAAATAAAGAAGTAAAAATAGTAAAAGTAATTGGCAACATTTATCACACATTAACTATGTTCCAAGCACTGTATAAAGCATTTCCATTCTATCCTTACAACTGTGGGAGGCACTACTGTTTTATCATTTTGCAATGAGGAAACAGGCAACTTGCCAGTTGCTAATAAAGGGAGGACCAGAATTCAAACTTTAGCAGTTTGACTATAGAACCACCGTGTTAACTACTACCTAGCTAATTAGATGAAAAAATGTACAACATCTCCAAGAAAGGTCAAGTAAATCTGCCTTATTCACAGATTTGTTCATGTGGTTTGACCAAGCAGTCAAAAACATAAATAAAATCAAAGAAATTTAAGCCAGGTGCCGGTGGTTCACGCCTGGAATCCTAACTACTCAAAAGGTAGAGATCAGGAGGATCGTGGTTCAAAGCAGACCAGGTAAATAGTTCATGAGACCTATCTCGAAAACATCTGTCACAAAAAAGGGCTGCTGGAGTGGCTCAAGATGTAGGCCCTGAGTTCATGCCCCAGTACCACCAAAAAAAAAGAGAGAGAAAGAAATTTAAAAGTAAAATTTTAATTCCTGCTTGTGCCTTAACTAGCTCAGTTGACGTGGAGTTCTGTCTGTCCCAGTTATGGTTGGTAGTATTTAAATCCTGTGATCTGTTAAGTATTTTTCTTTCCCTTAATTTGTGAAAATTTGCTTTCCCAAAGCAAATGTGCCCCCAAAGCAAGGTAAAAGTGAATGTGCTTAACTGTAGTGATAAAGTGAAAATACAAGATTTATTGAAAAGCTATGTCTTTGGTGGAAGTTGGGTGGTGTTATGGGAAAAATGAATCAAGTATTGCAGCTCAGCACTGAACTCTATGCATCTGGAGCATGAACAAGTTTTCCTCAATGGTAGTGTCCTCAGACACATATACCCTTAGATATCAAAGGTCTCCTGTATTTTGGCATGGGTAGAGTACTGACTAACTTTTTAAGAGGTTACGTCTCTGTGGCATCAATTAGGAGAGTCCAAGGACCAAATGTGCATGAATTCACCTTAAGAGAGCAAATTCTTCCCATGCTCCCAAGCTATATATCTGTGAAAGTATTTAGTGGAAAGCTCTGCAAGTGGACTGAGGGCAAGTTATCTAGCACATGTCCAAGGGAAAACTGGAACTGCAAATTCTAATACCATCATTAATTAGATCTTTGTCCTTTTAAGTTATGTTTAAACATCAGGCAGAGTTACTGTTTAGCTATAAAAGAAACAAAATTTTGAAGATAATATATGCTAAGCTCATGTTTCCATATGGAGAAAAAAAGTACTTTATAAGACTGGAGGTGAAAAGGCTAGACTGTTCAAGGAAGTCTCACAAGTTGGGTTTAATTCAACTTCTAAGTGGTGTATTAAATAAAATCCCCAGGGACTCATGGGCCCTAAGCAAGGTTGTTCTGTTTGTCTTAGCCTCAGAGTCTGCCTCTCTTCAAATCTGAATGATTACTACACTTTGGGGATTTGTGAAAATAAATACATGCTTCTCCTTGCATATTACTGGTGATGCTGCAAACACAAAGAGCATTGCCTTGAGGAATGGAAAAAATACAGGGAAAAGGAAATTTTGCTTTGACAATGTTCAACACAGCATGCTTGGTTACAGAGGGAGGCCAAAACAACGAGGTTTCTTCACTGTTGATAGACACTGGTTATTACGTGAACTCGGTGGGAATCAGTGCTTTCAGTCTTCCCTTTTTCAGTTCTGTTCTAAGGCTAGTTCACAGGGGATTCTAGCACAAAGAACCTCGATGTCTCCAACCTTTGGCCCTTGGAATTACTGTTTTGTTTTTTTTTCCAAGCAGAGGATTTTGTGTGCCTAAGATCGACGTGTTCTCTGGGAATACAATTTCTGAATAAAGTTCTGTTAGGAAGATGAATGAAATTGATCTTACTAGGAGAATTTTATGTATAAAAGTTGTAAGTTATCTTTGATATGTTCAGAAACTATACAATAGTATATTGTAGAAAATTACCAGGGATTAATTAAGCAGCAAGGAAGACAAGCAGGAAAATCAGAAAGCTCAATACATGTTATTTATCTTTTTATCAATCCTAAAGTTTATAGATACAATTAAATATGCACATATTCCTATAATCTGAAACAATAATTAAAATGATTGTGTATGAAACAAAAATT